GCTGAACTGCGCCACGGCGCAGCCGGGCGGCTCGGCACGGCCCCGGCCTGGCGGAGCGTGTGCGCGGCAGAGCCGAGCCTCCTCTCCCCCGAGCCCGGCTCGACGGGCTGGAAACCCACCCCGGGCAACCGGCTTGCTGAAGTTTGCCCAAGCGGGCGTGAAGTCCGCCGCGGGCGAGGGTTCTCCCGACCCGGGGAGGAGGACGGTCGTGCCCAGCGGGACCAGCCGCCATCCTCCCAGCGCCCACGTCGCGGCTCCCGGTGCCAAGCAAACCCGGTGCCGGGAAAAGTTGCAAGAGTCGCCGTGCAGCGCCGAGCACCGCGCTCGCCCCGACCGGGGCCACCTGTAGCAACCCCCAAGACGCGGCTCCGCGCCCCGCGCCGGCCCCGACCCTCGCCCGCTGATCTTCCAAAACCGGGCAGGGGCGTTTTGGGGACGGGGCTGGGGGGGGGGGGGGTCGGACACGGTTTATTCAACCAACTTCTGCCCGCGGCACTAACGGTGCCCGCGGTCGGCTGCGTGCAGCGCCGTGCGCCCCGGGGGCGGCTCCGCTCACCGCTCTCTTTGCAAATACCCGCAGCCCGTTTGCACCCCGCGGGGCGTGAAAAAAAAACCATATATATCACAAGATAGATAGATGTAAGAATTTTTTAAGGGCAGCCAGCAGCCCCGGAGCGGAACGCACGGTCATTCCCCTTCAGCCTGTGGCACGCGTGAAATGGCAACTCGCTTTCTGCCACGGCCGCGCAGGGGCTGGGGCAGGGCGCGGAGATGCCCGCGGAGCCCAGGTGGGCAACCCGCTCCCTCCCCCCCGTGCCCTCCGCAGCCGGTTCCCCCCCCCCCCCCCCCCCCCTTCCCCCGGTCTGCGGCGTCCCCCGGGGACCGAGAACGCAGGAAAAGCCGCTCTCACCTACCTCGGAGAAGGTAAAGGACAGGTAGCCAAAACCTATCAGCAAAACGCAAGCCCAGGTCCTCATCGCGGTCTAGTGCACTTTAGACACGGAGGGAAGGCGAGGCTGATGGAGAGGAGCTGCAGGCCGGCTCCTGCCGCGCAGAAATTCAGTACCATCCCTCAGGGGAAAGGCAGCGGGGTGGCTCGGGGGTCCTCCGCATCCAGGGTGGGTCGGGGCTGCCGCGGACGAAATGACGGCGCTGCCGCTGTTTGTAACGTTCCCCCTCGCTATTACGGGAGCGTGGCCGCTCTCCCTTTTCTGCTGCTCTCGCTCGCTCCTCTTGGCTCTTAGGACTAGACCAGCCGGTACTTCTGCATATTTGCTTAGATCAGACCAAAGTGAAACCCAAGGAGTCGATCCGGAGCGCAGCCGAAACGCCCATCACCTGTCTGGGGCGGCTGGCCCCCCTCGCGGCGGGCGGCGCTGGGGCCCGCCTCCCCCCGCCGCCGCGGCCT